ATGGCAGCAAGACTCCCTCCCCTCGGATTTTGTGTGCCGTGCCAGTCAGGCAGCACAACTGAACTGTGCAACCAGAAAAGGACTAAAACCTCTACGTTTTCGCTGCCCTGTGGGAAGGAAGAAAAGAAACCACCTGGAGGGTGGTGTGCCAGCCCCTCCCCAAGGAGGAGGCTCCCACAGGTGAAGGCATCCTCATGCGGCGCATGCTGGAAGGAGGACCTGGCCATCAGCCTTCCAGGAGTGGGAGAGACAGTGTCGCTCCCCCAAGAAGCTGCTGTGTGCTGCCGCAGGGAGCTCGCTCTGTGGCTGGGGGGGGAAATTTTTTTCTGAAAAAGGTTCTTTTCTCAGGCACTGGAACAGGCTGCCCAGGGAGGGGGTTGAGTCAGCATCCCTGGAGGGTTTTAAGAGACGGGTGGATGTTGTGCTTAGGGACATGGGTTAGTGGTATTCATAGGGCTAGGAAAAGATTGGACTTGATGATCTTGAAGGTCTCTACCAGCTGAAAATGTTCTGTGATTCTGTGATTCTATTATTCTATAGTTTATGATTCTGTGATTCTAAGGTGATGGAGGGCATCAGCCCTGGGTCCTGACATCTCTTCTGGCTCTGCTGTCTGCACCGTGCCTCACTCATGGAATCACAGATTGGGAAAGACCTTTATGATCATTGAGTCCAGTCATTAACCCAACACTGACAAGTCCCTTAACGTCCAGCTTTCGAGGTCATTTAACATCCACAAGGACAGGGAGCAGAGAGTAAACGTAGATACGATGTACATCATTGGAAGGAAAGGTTTGGAAGCAGCTCCATTTTCCTTGGCAAGCTAATGTCATTCCTCAGAGGCAGCAATGAAAACCTGCTCTGAGCTTCTGAGGAGACACAGTCAAGACAGCAAGGCATGCTGAGCGTGGAAACTCTTGCTGCTGCTGGCTTCAGACCTCATCTCATTGCCCTGTGCCTGGGTGCTGGGTCAGGGGGGTAGAGAGTGGGTAGAAGCCAGTGGGGTCAGTCTTGTGGGTCTGAAGGGCTGCAGGGAACAGGGCAGGGGTGTTAACAGAGACCCCTGGGCATGACCAGTGATGGGTGCCTCTTGCTGTCCCCACGTTCAGCGTGTTTACTGTCACTCTCTGGTGTAGGCAGATCGTTTCTACTGAGGAGACCAAGCTTCCCTGGACCCGACCCTAAATCTTGTCACCAGCCCGTGTCCCCAGGGCGGGTCTGTGGGTTGTGCCGGCTGGGGATACATAGCCCAGGGATCTGGAGATGTGGTGTCAGGGGTCGGCTGCTCGGCTGGGAAAAAGGCAGCCCTGGGTACAGGGCAGGGACCACACCAGAGCCCAGGAGCAGAGCAAGCAATGGTCTTGGTGAGCATCTTCTGCTGCAGCCCGGCAGCCCACTCCTCTTGCAGTGAGAGACCTGTTCTCACTCCTGTCACATTGCTTCGTGCAGGTGCTCGTGTATGGGAGAGGGAGAAGGAGAGGAGGAAGAAAGGAGAAGGGTGGGAAACTGTCATTTGTGTAAGATTTGCTGATGAATCGGCAGCAGTGTTGGTATTTGCGCAGTGCTGGGTGCCCTGCCGAGAGTCAGAGCCCCATGGTGCCAGGCTCTGTCCCGAAGATCTTGCAGCTCAAGTGTGAAACAGGAGGTGACATGCGAAGGGAACAAACAGATGGGGAGAGAGGGAGCTGGAGAGGAGATAAATAGCAATAACTCTTCGAGCCTTTTTTGTGCCTTTCAAATCCATCTGAAACTGGTGGAAGTGTCCCTCTCCTTGGGTTGCTGAGGGGACATCTGGGACCAAGACGATGTTCTCCTGGAGATCCTGGAAGGGCACCTGTTATCTGAAAGATTAGTTGATTCATCTTCTCCTGCCAGCCAAGAGCCTGCGTGAGCAGCCCTGTCCTTGAGTTGTGTTTCTCACCCTGAGTGCTGCAGAGGCAAGGGCCAGCCCTGCCAGTGTGTCTCAGAGGCCTCCCCATCCCTCCTTGCGGTCTTGCTCCAGCAGTGTGGGGTGCCTGAGAAAATCGCAGCAGCTCAGCAGGCTTTGGCTGCAGCATGAAAGGAACACGTAAAAGATAGCTACACCCATTTATTTAATAATTCACCCACCCATCTTGCCCTTCCTGGGGGTGAGTAGTAGCCAGCAGTGCCTTCACTAATGCCGTCACAGAAAGCGCGGACGAGTGGTCATGTATCAAACGATCTTGTGTTTCATCTTTTTCTCCTTAGGGAGCGAGTTTTCTGGGAGCCCATACAGCCACCCACAATATTCAACGTACAACGACTCCTGGAGATTTCCCAACCCCGGACTCCTGGGTAAGTTGCCGCAAGGCTCGGTGAGGGCTGCACCTTGTTTGCAGCCCGTCGGTGACCGCCCAGCACTGGGGAGGGCAGGACACATGTCTTGGCACGGTCCTGTGTCACCCCATGAAGAACTGCGGGTCTCCATCAAGAGCTCCCTCCCCAAACCTCTTGTCCTTCTGTTTCTGCCCCATAAAATCCTTCCAGAGAAATGGAAGGGGGGTTGTCAGAAGGCAGGATCCCCCTTTTTTTGAGGGCAAGGAATCCTGTTTGGGCAGAGCTCAGGATGTCAGGTTGCTCGGGGTTGGCTGTGCGCCTCGTTGCTCCTCACATTGGTTCTGGCTCGTTCAAGCACTTGATGTTTGTCCCCGATGTCACATCGCGCTTGCTCCCCAGCTGCGTGTTTGTCGGATCCCTCCTTCCTCTGGAAGGGACCGTCGTGCCCACGGAGCCTCGCCAATGCCGGCACAGTCCCTGCAAGCGGTGGGGGGCAGAAGCCCCATGGCTCGTGCAGGATCACGGCCCTCATGTGAAGGATAAACATAATCCATTTTACACCACTGTCAAAAGCTGGCCCACTTTGACCTTATATACATGTAGTATGCAGTAATTAGAATTTTTCCCTGCATAATTTGCATGGATGAGGTAAGTAAAATACCAATTAATTGTCATCTCTCAACACAGGAGTAGCATGCCTTAGAGATTTCCAGATTTATGGATGACAGGGCTGTTATATATGACCTCCAGCAGCGAAATAATTTTGAATTTTTGTCATACTTTTTTCATCCAGTTTCTTTGTTTTAAGTAATTGAGTCCCCATGTAATTGAGCCACCCAGGCTGTATTCATCATGGTTCTTGTCCTTAAACAAATCCTTGGGGAGCAATAGACAGCCTCTGCCTCTCATGCCATGGTGCTGGTATAATGCTGCTATTTGCCGTGCCACATTTAAGGGTTTGTTAGCGCTTCCATCATAAATCAGCGGGCGGATCTCCAGCTAATATGGATGGGCATAGCTGCACAAAGCCAGGGGAGCCCCTGCGCTTTAAACCCGCAGTTTCCATGGCCACAGCCCGCAGCGCCCACGGGATTTTGGCTCGGCCGTGTGGGAAGGTGCTTTTCCAGAGGGGAAGAGCGAGTGCCGTACTTCCTCAATTTCTAATTTTCCAAGTCCTCGGAAAGCACGAGAGCCGCTTCAGCAAAGCCCTGCTGCACAGGGAGCCGGGTTTGAAGTGTTTTTTTAACATTTTGCTTGCAAACCTGCTAATGAAGCTGGCATGATATTAAAAATAAATGAAAACCAAGCCCTAACCCTGCGCTTCCCAGTGGAGACGAGGGCTTTTGGTGAGGCTCCTGGGTTGTGGGTGCTCATGTCCACAGGGCAGGACGTCGCAGCAGAGCCAGCCTGAGGCTCCGGGTGGGCAGTGGCCCCTCGACTCCGTTGGCAGCAGGTTGTGCCCATGGTCTGCTCATGCCTCTGCTCAAGGTGACAGGCTCGTGTAAGCTCTGAGGGTGCTGGCTATGGTGTGTCCCCGTGGAGATCGGCAGGTCCGGATCAGAAGACTTTTGTACAGAGGGGAGACTTTAGCACAGAGGAGGGTCAGAAGGCAGCCACTTGCTGCCACGACACCTTTCACCTGTGCCTTTTCGCCCCCTCCATTCTTCCTCTTTTTCTCATTTTCCGATGATACATTTTCGGGGCGAATTTCACCTGGTCTTCGGCCGTGCAGGAGGCACGCCACGTGAGCACAGCGGAGAGGGCGG